GCCCTTATTTTTTCATTTTATTTTGAGAAAACAGAAATATAGTACGGGGAAAATATCTGTAAACACTCTGGCATACTGCAGGCGTGTACCACCAATGTAACAGCGGATGGGGACAACAAATATCTCCATCTTGAGAGGGTCCATTGTTCTGGACTGGGTAGAAATAGCTTCTTCAGAAATTTTGGAAAAAATAAACATGATCCGCTGATGTAAAAACATGGCTGTTTTCAAATCAGTGCACAAATGAGCATAACCTACTTATTTTAGAGCAAAGGTATGTTTATTGTACGGCAAACCACAACAAGAATATCTCACAAAACAGAATTGTGAAGCCCCGATAAAGAAGACTACAAAGGCGGAAAAGCAACCAACGTCCAGCTGTGGTCTTTCTCAGCTGTGGTCTCAACTAGACCTGAATGCTGCTGAGTAGGTGGTGTCCAATGGCTCAGGTCTGCACTGGCAACCAAAGAAAGATCAAGCACAGGAATGCAACCTAAGCAAGTCAAAACAGAGCCGCATCTGGAATTCTCTAGTAATTCCTAAAAGCAGCAGGTGCTAAACTCTTAAAAAAAACACTAGGAGTATCTGCTGACCCGCCAACATATGACAAGTTGCACAGAACCTCCAAAGCAGCACTTCCTGTGCTCCGAGGATCAACACCACATCCAACTCCTGCAGCGACCTCGCAGTGCCTCCTCACCACTGGCCGGCCAGAGCCTGCCCTCCGGAGGGCCAGGGAGAGTCAGCATTTAAAGACACGGTGCTGTGAGGCGAGGCACATGTGGTAACACTTCTGGCTCCCAGCTGAAAGGCAAGCATGAACATCTGTCTGCTGCACTGCCTGCTCCAAAACTCAGTTAAAAGTAGTAAAAACAGTCCCGATAGTTTTTAACATGTCATGCTTAGCTCGGCGTTTTCTTCTAGTTCTTGCCAATTACTTCAGAAGTTTTACCCAGCTCTCACTCCCTCCCTTAAATTAGCATATATGCTACAGCAAAGGGAAGTCTGCTCTCCCTGCTGTGTGAAGACCATCAAGAATGTGAAAAGGGATAGATATGACCTGAAACAATACGCATAATTCTTAAGGTTTAGCCTCCTAGTGCTTCACCAAGAGAATGTTCATTCACCCATTCATGTTGCCTGGCTCCTTTAACATATGGCTAGAAGTAACACAGGGAAGAACCCATTTACAATTTTGTAAAGATCTTCTCATTTGGTTGCTCCGAACCTCATTAAAGTACCTCTAGTGGTGATATCAACAGTTTAAATGTTGGATAATTTAAAACATTTATAATACCTCTTCCATAGACCAATCTATTAGGAGGATTTAAAATAAGTATGTAAATAAACCATTTTACAAGGACTAATTAATTAGGTGGTAAAAACCAAAAACAACATGCCAAATCAACCTGCCTCTGTACTGAGTGCCGGAGGGGACATTCCCGGTGAGAACAGGGAGGAGAAGGCTAAGGGGGAAGAAATGACAAACATACTTGCTATGTGAACTTTCTAAAGCGCTGTTCGTACGCAGCTCCGGAGTGCTGTGCTTCCATGAATTGCTGGAAAGCCTTAAGAAACCATTTGATTGGTTTTCATTTCTGAGAGACGCTTTATTCCACCTTTATAGTGTTTTAAGGGTAATCCTGACCTTTGCCTTTTAAGGAAGAATTCTACCAGAACTTAAGAAGTGCAAGAAGATAATGAAAAGTACCAGAAATTAAGACATAAACTATCTCCCTAGTCTAGATATTGTCATGTTTTGGTCTTGCACACAGTGGTCTAATTTAACTGCTGGAAGTTAATTACTAATTTTTAATTCTTTCAAACTATTTTAAAGCAGAAAATGTAAAAGTATTCTAAACATATACCCACAGAATGTAAACTGCAAAAACTCACATCTTTCTTCTAGCCTTTTTAATAGATGAGCAGGAGAAGAAAAAAAAAAAAAAACTTCCAAAATAGAATTGCTATGAATGTCAGCTATTTATGTGACTTCATTATTAATAAAAAATAGAATAAAAGACGAAAATGAAATAATTCACAAAAATTCACAAACAGTATATTCTTCTTTTTTTGGTTGAATAACTTATAAAGGAATAAATTGCCAAGAAAAAACAGGGTAGCAGGGTTTTATTTGGTTTCTGTGCTATTTTACTGGAATTGCATCCTATTTTGCTTAAGTAAATGCTAATGAAAAAGAGCTTGGTATCATTTTTATCACAGATGAGAAAAGAATATTTTCTCAAGAAATATTATCTCAAGCAAAAAAATAGTATAGCTGAACCAAACATAAGTTGTAGATAACTAAAAGCAATTCTCAATGCAAATTCTAAACCTAGCTTAACTATACTTAAAATTACTAATTAGTCTGGGAATTGTATAAAATATTCTTAAAAGATGATTCCTCTTATTTTGAATATTTATATTCAAAGTTGCTATGCAATGAACAAAATACTTAGATACACAGGCATATATACAGTATATGCTAAATGATCACAGAAATATACAATCTATTACTGAAAAAAATGCTAATATACCTGACGTCGTATGAACTGGAATCTCAGAGATCACAGGGAGAAATGGGAAGGTACATTTTATTCACATATGGATCTTTATTTCTGTGTATATGTTCTTATTCTCCCAATGTGCAAACATTTAAAGGAAATATCTATTTTATTCAGAATTATATGTATGACCTCAAAGCTTGACATATAACTAACTAATCCCATAATGAGTATCAAGGAAATAATTTGCTTCAAAATAACGTTTTAAATAAAAACTATTCGGAAGTGGGCTCCTATTTAGTTCTTACTGATGATGTTTCAAAGTACTTCTTTTAAAAGCTTATTAAATGTGGTCTTTTCAACTATCCGTAACACAGATTTCATAGTTAAGACCATGGAATATCAGGTCCTAAAGTTATGTTAGGTGACTAAAGTTGATTTATTTTCCAATTTCAAAAAGGCAAAAATGGCATCCTTAATAAATAAATTCTTCCCCACCCCCAATTTACAAGTGAAACCAATCTGGATTGCCAAAACATCCTTTGAATTTAATTAACTATGGAAAAAGACAGCTTAAATCCTCACACCCCGATTTGAAATTAAATGCATTTTACAGTCAAAACCAGATCCAAAAACACGTATGTTGAGTATCAACTCTGAAATTTAGATATTCCAGCCATGGTGATTTTCTATAATTGTATCCACATAACTTGTTATTACTGGATGCAAGTAACTTGTCAGCTCAGACAGCCTGCTATGTAATGCCACTTTATGCTGACATTATGTGGAATTAACTAACCACTGCTTGCTTACCATTTCTCACCTGCTTTGGGAATGTCAAACTAAATCCTATGCATTCTACTTCTTACCGAATCTGTCCCTGCCTTCTCTTAGCTCTGTAGTTTTCAAGGATTTTCATGAACTGGATGCTAAGCGTCCCTCTGCCCTCATTGCCATCCTAACCAACTTCCTTAATAGCAACCAAAAGAATTACTTGTGTTACCCAGGATGCACTCTGCTCCTTCTTGTCTGACTGCTGCTCCCCTCTGCCCTACAGCACCTTCTCCTTTCTCCTCATCTCCCCACCTTACACTTCACCACAGCAGATCCTATCCTGGGAGCCTCTCCCAGCAGGAATTAAGGAAGAAATGGGGCAGACACTCCTTTTCTGGGACAATTCTTGCTTTCAAGGAAAACTGTGTCCGAGGAGCCGAAACCGGTTTGGCTCAGTGGATAGAGCGTCGGTCTGCGGACTGAAAGGTCCCGGGTTCGATTCCGGTCAAGGGCATGTACCTTGGTTGCGGGTACATCCCCAGTAGGGGGTGTGTAAGAGGCAACTGGTCGGTGTTTCTCTCTCATCAACGTTTCTAACTCTCTATCCCTCTCCCTTCCTCTCTGTAAAAAAATCAATAAAATATATTAAAAAAAAAAAAAGAAAAAGAAAAAGAAAACTGTGCCCGAAGAGAAACTCAGCCAGACCTCGTGGCACTATGGGATTCTGAGGACTTCCACACCACGGGAAGCCAGAGAAGGATCCCAGAGCACCAAGTCATCGTATTTGCTCTACTCTATACATTTTTACCCCTATGACTGCAAGCTATTTGAAATCAGAAGTTCAATCTATTTCATTTACTTCCATCCCTGAAGTCTAACAAAGCACACTGCACATTACAGTAAACATTCAAGTAAAGGTTGTTAAGGAGATAAATGAATGAGAAACATAAGCCCGTAAGACTAAAAAATATAGCACTGATTTCATATTAATAGATTTTTACCCTTAGAAAGCAGGTAAAGACAGAGTTTGAACACACATTTTGCATAATATATTACAAAAGACTACTACTTTTTATATTAAAAAGTAATGTACAATTGGATTTTAATAGAGGTAAAAGGTCTTCAAGCTGCAGAGAATAATTCTATACAATGAAACTTAATACTACAACACAAAAACAAATACTACATACTTCGTTTCCATCTAGTCCTGCATTTTATGTTTGAAAAATACTAGTATGTCAAAAGTAAGTATATATATATATTTTTTACTGTAAGTTTCACCAATTAGGTAAGAGAAGATCAGAATCAAAATAAATGTGGACCCTACAAATTGCTTTTGAAAATTTAGGTTAATAGCTACTTGGTGCTAATCAGTGAAAGCAAAGTGAAAAGCAGCATTGCTTCTATGTGTGCAGTAGAAAACCCTGCCCATTCCCCCAATTCTAATATTTGCAAAATGACTCTGAATCATGAAAACCCACAACGACACAATTCTTCCTCATCAATCTAAATGGTAAGCCCCACACACTTTCTTGTTAGAACTGAAACCTGAACATGCCATATTCTATAAAAACACAAATCAAAATGTCATTTTAGCTCGGGCAAAATGGCATCCTTAATTCAAAAACAAATCTCTATCTGCCACGTCAGAAACATTTATTGGATTATCATAAAAATTCCGACTAGTTGGAGATGGGCTCCAGGGTCTGGGAGAATCCTTACCTAATCCTATTCGGTTCGGACTTGTTTCCCGGCTGCATCCCTGGCTTCTGGGGATCTTGCTTCGCTTTTCGGAAGAGGGTGTCACTGGCGGGCCTCTGGAGGAAACCCCGGCAAGGCCGCCATAGCCGCTTCCCAACAACTTCCCCGGAGAGCTTGACCGGCTGCCAGCTAAAAATGAAGCAAAAAAACTGAGTAATGGTTGTAATCAGGGAATAAATTATAGTATTTCAGAAGCCAGATTATACATTAATTTGGATCAACTATAAAAATAGCTTTGTAGTTGGTGTTAGTACCAATTTTTTTTTAAACATTAGGAGCATGAAAGAATATCAAAGTATCATAAAAGAATATACATAGAAGGCTACTGGTGCAGTGCTACAAAAATAACTGCAAAACTTCTGATTCAAAAAGCAGGATGAGTCCAAATAGCCTCCCTGTTACACAGAAAATTTCTAGAAATAATCTCAATGGCATTTATTTAGTGTTTTGTTCTTTTTTTCTGTGAGAGCTGACATGTCACTATTTTTAAGTATAACTGCTGGAAAAGTATAAATATTAACAAAAATTTCTTAAACATCAGTGATAGAAAATGGATTCAAGAGAACTCTATTAATTTAACAATTTGAAGGGGAAGAAGTAAATAGAAATATGATAAATAAAAATCACAAAATAAGATGGTAGGACTGAGTTCAAATATATCAGTAATCATAATAAATGTGGCTATGCCTTAGCTGGTTTGGCTTAGTGGATAGAGTGGAGCGAAGGGTCCCAGGTTCATTTCCATGCCTGGGTTGCAGGTTCGATCCCCAGTGGGAGTGTGCAGGAGGCAGCCGATCAATGATTCTCTCTCATCACTGATGTGTTTATCTCTCTTTCCCTCTCTCTTCCTTTCTAAAATCAATAAAAATATATTTTTTTAAAAATTTAAAAATAAATGTGACTAGATTACATTCACCAATTAAAAGCCAAAGATGTTTGAATTGGATTTAAAAAAATAAAATAGAAGTCAAATGTATGTTGTTTACAACAAACAACAATATACCTACAACAACAAAATAGAATAAAATGAACAAAGGATATATTATTGATAAACAAATTGTCCATGAAGATATAATAATCACGGACCTTTATGCTCCAAATAATATAGTTTTGAAATATAAAATATGAAAGTAAAAATACTGGAAGAAATTGAAAAAGTCCTAGTTATTAATATTATATACCACTCAGAAAGACTAATAACTTTTAAAAATATATCATACCTTGCAGAAACTGACAAGAGTAGTCAAAATTATACAGACTGTATAAACACAATTCCCATAAACACACGTGTAACTCAACAAACAAAATGTACATTATTTTCACCTTTTATGTACTACAAAAACCATCTGTATAATAAGCCTCAAAAACCTAAAAAGTAGCAACCATATAGATTACATTCTCTGATATGTATGCAATAAATTATAAAATAAAAACAAATGATATGTTAAGTAACTTTTATTATGGCTAAGTGACTAGATACCTAAATAACCATTTCTTATGGGTCAAAATTATCAATACACCCAAATGGCAGTCATTTACTTAGATCATCTGCATAAGTACAAAAGGCAATAAAATTCTAAAACAAAGTGCACATTATTATTTACCAGAATAAGGATGAGCCAAAGGTAGAAACCTTTAAAATAACACTTAACTGAAAATTATACACACACACACACACACACACACACCATTCAATGAATCATTAAGGTGCATACCCACAAAAAATAGTACTATATAATGTTTTAACTATAATTTAAAGTGAAATTCATTGCAAAAATCACAAGTACAGACTACCATGAAGAACCCACCTCATGATCTGTTAAATTTGCTCATAAAATTTGAGCACCCACATAAACCATTAAGCTATGTAAAGGAAAAAGAAAACATATTTCAAATTTTGGATTTTAACATACAGGAAAAATGCAGAAAGATTAATTAAGCTCATAATATAAAAATTAATATTGTGCAAGAAACATGGGGTGAGAGAGAATGAACAAAACAACAAACAAACAAGAAGAGAAATGGCTTACCACCAGCAGGATTAGCAGATCTGGATCCTTGATTATGAGAGCAGACCAAAGAACAGGCAAGAAATGGATTAAAAGACAATAACACAATACAGAGGTCAGCATGCAAACACAGGTCTTATTCACAAACTATCTTTTTCTAGTTCTTATTCCTCCTGGACTACTTTGTACTCATGTTGGTTTTATATGTCACACTACTTAGCATTTATTTCTGGTCTGTTCATGGAACGCTTACAAACCCACAATACGCCAGCACAGTGCCCGACGTACGGAGTGGAGAGTAAGGCAGTGACCACCTTCTGGGAGTACACCTGCTCTCTGGCTCCTAGCAACCGAGGGAAGTGGCTGATCTGTGTGCATCACTACCACCTAAAATAGGCCCACCACAGGAAGTGCTCAATAAGCACTGAAGAGTTAAAAAAAGCACCTGAGTGCCTGATGCCAAATTCTCAAACATGTAAATATTAATCTTCTAAGATTTTAAGCCTCTAATATTTAAATCTTCAAATAGTTAAAATATACTAATTGTTAAGAGCCCTAAATCTAATATTAATAAAATCTACGTACTATTAAACGAGGACTCTGAACGCTAGTATATCTATATTTGTATGTATCTCATATTTTCTTCCTATCAAAATTATTTTTAAAAAATATTTCATTTCTATTCCTAAGTTTAAGACCCAGGCTTGATCACTCGTTGCTGTTGTCTCCTGCGGTGGGTGGAATAAAACGGAAGTTTTTAAAGTGGAGCCCGAAGGTAGGGAGTGTGCAGCGTGTTTGTAAGGCTGAACTAGGGCTCTGCCATCCCTCTCCACCCCGCTCAGAGGGACTTCCATCCTCTCCACTCTGAGCAGAGGACCAGCTAGGGCAGGGATCCCGGCAAAGGCCGAGGTCAATGCCAATACACACCAGACATAAAGGAAGAAATGTACAATTCCGTTCAGCCCTCGCTCTCTAAAGGAACTAGTGCTACACAGCTAAAGGGTTAGACATTTTTATTCAACTCAATTTCAACATATTGAACTGAAAGAAAAGAGACCATGACTGGAGTATGAGATCTGCTTGTGGCTCAGGCAACACTAGGGCCCAACAGAATAACAGAGCTGGGGTACTATCCTTGAGGCTCAAAAAGCTTCTGGGCCACACCTTACCATCTGTGGTGGGGTGGGGTGTGGTGTGGTGTGGTGTGGTGTTGAGTAGGAAAAGAGGCAGCAATACAACTAACCTTGCATTTTTCTTTCTTTCCAGAAAAGACATAGGATGGTCTAACATAGGGACTATAGGTGTCACAGGGACATGAGAAGGGCCTAAATTCGCAGCAGCTGAGAAGGCATTCTAACTAGTAGGAGAGAACCCCAGGTCTGCCGCAGACCCAGTGCTCTCTGCACAGGAGGAGGACTGCAGTGCTGTGTGCAGGGAGCAGGGAGCTCCTGGGGAGGGGAGGCCTCTCCACTCCCCGGCCCAGAGACGGGCAGCCAGCTCCACTCCACACACAGCACAGAGGGAGCAGGCGGCTCACAGTGAGACACCGGGGGTGGATCCTAGGGATACGTTCATTCCTCTACGGCTGCTCTCGTGTGTCAGGCTAACAGACTAAGTGACTCAACAGACAGAGAAGCAAGCATGGAGGCAGGCAGCTGTGCAAGCAAGAGCTCACGCTGGCAGGAGACAGGAGCAGGTTGCGATGTTAGAACAGAAGGCTAAGGGGGGGCCGTTTAGCGGATTAACTTATGAGCGCTGGAAAGAGGACTCGCACTGCCCAGCCTCTCTCCAGCTCCTGCTCCCGGATGTGTCAGGACTGCCTACTAATGGAACACTGGGGCATCACAGGCCAGGTTGTTTCAACTGGAGAGACTTGCGGAGAGGAAGAGAAAGTCATTTAATGTTTAATGAGGAATGATAAAAAATTTTAAATCATCTGGCCAGGAGACAAAAGTACCCGTGATTACTACCATTTTGTAAGCCTACCAAAGAATCATCAAATTACTCACAGTATCTTAGAGCCACAGAGATGTGTTTTCCCCCTGAAGTCAGTGAGAATGGCTGTTGAATAAAACCTAGTTAACGGAGAACATAAAATAGATTTCTTACGCTGAGACTGTGAAACCACTTTAGCGCGACTGCGGCCTCGACTATCGGCAGGTATGGAGGCGACGTTGGTGGTACTCCCGGAGTTTTGCCTTCTCGTACGAATCCGACCTGGAGAATGCAGCAAAAACAGCGTTTCCATGGGTTTTCAGTCAGTGCGGCCTACAACCCACACAGCACCAAGGGGCACTGACCGGGCCACCGACAGGGGAGCAGGTCTTTCCCACCCAGGGTCCTGACATGCTTTCCTGCGAGCACACACACATTCTGAAAATACATAAGGGGCCCTGGTCGGGTTGCTCAATTGGTTAGTGTTGTCTTGATATGCCAAGGTTGTGGGTTTGATCCCTGGCTGGGGCACATACAAGACACAACCAATGAATGCAAAAATAATTGGAACAACAATTAATGTCTGACTGTCTCTCCAATCAATTTTTTAAAGTAAGTGAGGAACTCCTGAGAATGAGTCGTGAACCTATCAGGTACTTATGTTTCAGTTACTTTAGCATATTATATTTTCAAATGAGAAGGTGATATCTATTGAAGAATTTTTTAAATCAAATTTTCAGTTAAATTTTTTTTTATTGGCTAGAAATCTGTCAAATGTCCAGAGTCAGAAAATATTAGCTGTTGTCTTAAGAAAAATACAATAGGAAAAAGGAACAAATGTAAAATATTCGGCAATCTACAAAAACTACAACACCCTGGGGAATAAATTTGTTTTGATATGTACCATTAAACTTCTATTTTAAAGCATGTGTGCCCATAAATTTCTAGGTTACAAAAGATGATTAAAATAAAATTAGTACCTGAAAGTAATACAAAATAATATTGCATATAAACTGTAATTTAAAAATGTTTAAGAAAAAATAAATATTGGGAGTACCTAGAAAAAGAATGACCTAAAAATAATATAATGTTGTAATCCAGCTGGCATGACAATGAGTGCTGACCATGGAATTAAGTGGTCATGGCATATGCCAGGTTTGGGAGGTAGCCAATCAATGATCCTCTCTCATCATTGATGTTCCTCTCTCACCCTCTCCCTTCCTCTCTGAAATCAAATTTAAAAATATTTTTTTAAAAAGTACATTTATGAAAAGAATTTGTCACTCCAAATAAAGCAATCTGTTAACTCTAATTTTTAAACCATGAAACCTTAAAATAAAACCGAATTTAGATATGCAAAATAATTGATGATCAGACTAGTATGATTAGGGGTTAAACTTCTTAAAATTCAGGAATTTTATGGTTTTCAAGGGATACAAAATGCCTCTTCTTCCATAATTCAATCAGAATAGCAATCTGATAGGGAAAACACAAACCATTTCGAATCCCTATTGGCTTCTTGTATTATTAAAAATAATTTCTGCCCTACCCAGTTTGGCTCAGTGGATAGAGCATCGACCCACAGACTAAAGTGTCCTGGGTTGGACTGTGGTCTGGGGTGTGTGCCTGGGTGGTGGAATCGATCCCGCACCCTTGTGAGGCGTGATCAGGAAACAACTAATTGATGTGTATATCTCACATCGATGTTTCTCTCTGTCTCTGCCCCTCCAACTCTCTCTAAAAATCAATGGGAAAATATCCTTGGGTGAATATGAACAAAAATAAATAAATAAATAACCTGTGCAGCCAGTGTGGTTGGGTGTAAATCTACGAACCAGGAGATCACAATTTGATTTTAAGTCAGGGCACATGGCCAAGTTATGGGCTCGATCTTCAGTAGGGGGCATGTGGGAGGCAGATGATCAATGATTCCTCTCATCATTGATGTTTCTCTTTCCCTTCCTCTCTGAAATCAATAAAAATATACATTCTACTTCATCATCTGAGAAAACCTGCAGAAAAGTACACAGAAAAACAAACCATAAGGCTTGAAAACGTTTTTTAAAAAGGAGGTATGGAGCAATAAAAGAAAGCACTGCATTAAAAAAATTAAAACTAGAATTAATGACTTCATAGGAGTTTAAGGAAAGACACAAATTCTAGAATCTATAGTAAAATTAAGAGCTATACCATATATCATTCTAAGAGTGAATCCAGTTTACAGATGAGGGGACAGAGAAATGGGGGACAATTCATTTGTCCAAGATCACACTATTAGTTTGGATACCAGTGCCTGCCTGCCTTGCTGGCCTATGAGTGAGGAGTTTTTACTTTCCCATGAAAATCACCGAGCTAAATCAAGGCAGTCACCAAGGCAATATCAACATGAAAACGACGGAATTTAAATTTATTGTAAAATACTTGCCGCAAAAATATTTTTTAAATAAACAGCCATACCCATTCAACTTATAAAACAAAAATCTTCTTTGCGTATGTCCCTATATCCTCTACCTTCCTCTACATTTGGTAATAGGATCCTAAATCCAGTGTTTACCTTTATCCTTTCAATAATATTTTCAATAATATTTTCTCAGTTGCCTAACTGAAAAATTAGATGGCATTATTTTTTATGTTTTAAATAGTTTTAATTATACCATAGCGTATATATTTTCCCAAAACTTAATGTTTTGATCAACATTTTTTTGGTGAGGTCACTTATGGAACCGATTTTTCTGTAGAAGGTAAAGGAGAGATCCATTGACTCACCTACAAACAACTCAATTTACTCAACCCCTTTCTTCCTGACCTACAAAGCCACCTCCAACATCTGCAACGCTTACAGTATGCGCGGCTGCATCTGTCCCTCAGCTGTCCTTCTGTCCCAACAGCCCATGTGTCTATAACATGCAACATCACCACGCTGTGATGAGCTTTAAACAAAAATCTCGCTCATGGGAAGAGCAAATAAACCCACTTTCCCTAAGGCCCTTTGCTCTCCTCGTTATGCATGTGGAGATAATGAGAAGACCCTGTCCTGGCGGCGGCCCAGCTGGCTGGAGCGTCATCCCATAACCGAAAGGCTGTGGCTTTGACCCGGGTCAGAGTGCATACGGGAGGCAGCCAATCGATATTTCTGCTTCTCTCCCTGTCTCTTTCTCTAAAATCAACAAAAACATTCCCTGCGTGAGAAAAAAAAAACCAAAACACCTATAAAAATATCGACTGGCATTATGTGGCATTTTGGCGGGGGGAAGGGAGGGCAGCTTTATGACAAAAATCTTCCCACTCACAAATATTTTCTGAATTTCACTCTCTTCAATGTCTTTCAATAAAGTTTTATATTTTCCCCAAAAAATCTTACTAAAATTTTATACTTATTAAAAGGTAACTTATATTATGCACCATAAATTTATCATACTTAAACTTATTGACAAATAAGTTCATAATTAATATTTAATTTGGTCTTAAACAGGAACCTTGTTAAACCGTATTGACTCTATTAATTTACATGTAGATTATCTATGGTTACATAAATAAGATGTCATCTACAAATAAGACTTCAGGTTTTTCGCTTCAAACAACTAACTGCCCTTTCGTTTCTCTGCTTTCACCATGCTGTCCAGGACATGTGCTACAACACTAAAGAAAAGCATGGAAGCAGGCTCTCTTGCCTTTAGCCATATTTTTAAAAAATAGTAATTCTGAAACTTCACAAAAAGTTTGGTATTTCATCAGGTTGAAAAAACCCTCTTCTATTCCTAATTGCTAAGAATTGCTGTCAAAAACGTTTATTGAGCCGAAACCGGTTTGGCTCAGTGGATAGAGCGTCAGTCTGCAGATTGAAGGGTCCCAGGTTCGATTCCGGTCAAGGGCATGTACATTGGTTGCGGGCACATCCCCGGTAGGGTGTGTGCAAGAGGCAGCTGATTGATGATTCTCTCTCATCGATGTTTCTAACTCTCTATCCCTCTCCCTTCCTCTCTATAAAAAAATCAATAAAATATATTAAAAAAAGAAAAAAAGAAACGTTTGTTGAATTTCTTAATGTTTTGCCTGCCATCTTCTGAGAATAAGAGGATCCTTCTCCTAAGTGTGATAAGGGCATCAGTGTTTATAAAACCTAGGCTAAACAGCCACTGTCAGATCCAGACTGCAGCTAAATTCTTCTGACAAGGATCTATGTTTGCTTTTGCTAGTCCTATAGACACCAGCAATCCACAGCTACTTTAAAATGATCTATCTATTTGGGTTTCTCACACCGCAGAGGCAGATGTAAATTCTGAAGGGACTCCTCTGCCCTAGTATGAAGGTTAAGAATGGAAAAACCCCCTCTTATCTGCTCCAGTTTGAGTGAACTTCTTGTCTATCAATGATGGTGTAGTCTTGGGTGGGTTTGGGTTGCTTCTTGCCCTCCACATCCTAATCTCTCAGCACAGCAAATGCCCCCTGATCTCTCAGCACAAATGCCCCCTGATCTCTCAGCACAGCAAATGCCCAGGCCTCCATGTCCCTCAGGTACAGCCAGATGTGGCCCTACCCCACTGAGGTTCCTGCTTTTGCTTTCAAGATGCGTGACTTACTGACTTACTGCCTTTATTAGTGATGTGTTCTCAATTGGCCAGACCATCACACTAAAATGCAAGTTACTTATTTCTTTGGAACATTTAAATACAGCTACTTTGTATTATATAAAAGAGCCTTTCAGGTATTTAAAGGATATGCTTCTTTCTGCTACCTCTAACTCATTATAGATATAAATGTTAGAGGTAGAAATAGCATATATCAGGGACCAGTTATAATTATTTATATTATAAAAGGCCAGTGGCCAGAACACCGGAATGCCCAAACAACCGGTCACCAGGAGGTGCACTGATGGGTCTCATGGCAATGGCGGGAGGGACTCTGTGTCTCGTACAATTTTGCACGCTGGGCCTCTAGTAAGAAATATTAATCCCGCTCTGTTAACCACGGTGGTTCTGTTCTGTTTAGAGAAAGCACACACTCAACTCACTGAGAGTTGCACGCTCCGGGATATGGGAGCTCACATGGGAATGCAGACTGTCATCCTCCCAAGAATTGCCCTATCACTAAGAAACGATTTACAACCTCGTGGCACCTAGTCCTGGAGGCACCTGCTCTTCACAAGCCCTGCCCCTATCACCTGTAATCCAGTCCTGCCCTCTCCCCGCAGCCCGCAGCACTTTAACCTGTAATGATTACCCCATTCCCACTTTCCCATGCCTGCAATCCTACTTCCCCATGTAATCTGGTCCTTTTACCCA